CATCCCGTCGAGCGTGAACGGGGAAGCAGGGGACATCGTAAACTGGGGAGCCCAGCGGGGAGGAGCGAGGGGGATTGGTCACTCAAAGAAGGAGGGTCGCGTTTGCCTTCGGAAAAAATTGTTTTCAGTTATTGACCTTTCTCAACAGTTTATCAACATTTTTTTTCTTTTCACATGCGCTGTATATCCCCCGCTCTGCACATTGATATCGATAGTTTTTTTGAAAAGCACCGGAAATAAGGCACACAATAAGTTGGAGATTTTGATAATGTTGATCGAGCCCGTACGACCCTCCCCCTTCCCCTGAAGGATGGCCTTTCTTACTCTGATACGATCGAGCTGTAGAGCGGAGGGGGGGGGACAAAAGTCAACAACCGGGACCATTTTTTTCGCAACGCTGCAAATTCCTCTCAGATGGCCAACAACGAGCAGGTACGACTCCCCCCTCCCCGCCAGTGAAACAAGAAAAATCAACTATCAAAAAATTTTCTCATTTCAAATACGACCCCCGCCCGCCTCCCTTCCGGACAATATACGAGCCCCCTGTTGGGGAATCCCCAACGATGATGTGCCCTTCTGGGAAATTCTGTGTAAGCGACCTCGAGAACTCCGGAGAAGTGGAAGTAAGTTGGGTGAAATTAGGAGCATGGTACTTAGGACGAGGCAGGGTTGAAGGGTCTTACCAAAGGATGAAGTTTTGAGAGCGGTGGTACTTCGGAAAACATTTCCCCTGCGGTAGGTCGTGCCCTGATGGGGCAATTCGCTCTTCATTAACACCGTCCTTGTCCGAAGTTGTAAACGAACTTTCCACACGCACAGTCAGCATTCGCTCAACTTGCTTGATGTTTTCTGTTGTAAGCACAATGTCGTCAGCGACACGGAGGTGATGTAGTTGTCTGCTGTCACCTTCATTCCCATTCCAGTTGACGCATAGCGTTCTCGAGGCGGCGCTGAATGTTTAGACGTTGTGGTGTCTCCCTATCACAGCTTTTTCACAATGGTGATGATGATCCTTGAAGAGTCGTGGAATTCCGTCACTAACTGGCCGTAGAATGCAGAGCTCATAACTGAATTTTTGTAACTTTTATTAGCACTTCTTCCCTTATGGAATAAGGAAATCTTGTACACATTCCAACAGGGCGAGCCTGCGTTGAGGATTATCCAGACCCGGATGTCCTCCAGTCTCGAGCTGCAATTCTAGAATAGCATTGTCAGCCAACTTGTTTCTCTTTTATAATGGCATCTCCTAGAGATGTCCTCTGCAGATCAAGTTTTCTGGGATCTGCGAAT